CTGCCTGCCCTGGGCCCTCAGAGGAGCATCTGGGTGATCGCAACGATCCACTGCAACAGCCAGGGTGTAGCTGGCACCCCTCTTCTGCACAAACACCCTCAGCCCTGCCATCGCTGCCCTCCACAGCCCCTAGTGTGACAGGCTCCGAAGAGATGCTCCCAAACCCTCCTCATCCTCGCACCTACGGGGAGCACACAGACCTCACAGCGGGCAGGGCAGTAGCAGGGCGATAACTCAAGTCCCAGTCGTCTCCGTAAACCTCACCCCATTCAAGAACCACGGTCCAAAACCACCCCTTGGATTTCCCAACAGCAAGCCAGCTTACGCAAGGCTCGCTGCGTGCCGGGCGGGGTGGTGCTGCTGTCAGGATGCCTCGGTGGATTCAGCCTGGACATCATCTGGCCACTTCTTTAAGTGCCTAAGGTTTAAATATACGCGTGGCAAACGCCACGACAGCATATACTTGTATCCCTGAAACATCATCCAGGGGCTACGAAAAATATCAGCTCAAGAGACTATTCTCTCGGTTGAAAGAAAACAACCTGCCTTGGTTGTAGCTTGCTGAAACAAAACCTGCTCTCGTGTCGGTAAGACATACCAGACCCACTATGGGAACTGCTGTGGCGTTTGTTACATGTTTAACACCTTGGAAGGAGAGCTGTTTCCAGCTGACAAGCTCAGAAAAAAGTAATATCGTCCATTTACTAAAGTCTTTAATCCCTTCTATCTTTTTTTCCTATTTTGTTTTGTTGTTGCTTTTGTAGAGAAAGCCTTTGGAGGGTACTCGAGGCTGTCTGAGCCCCCTTTAGTGGCAGTAACAGCCTTCCCAGGCATTTGGGAAAGAAAAAACAAATTTTAAAAGCAAAATCTTTACAAAAAGCATGAAGACAGACTGGAAACACCATGCATCTGATAATCCAGGCTGCTGCCATCCCTTAGCAGCTCACGCCAGGGAGGCCCAAGAGGAGGGCTCCTTGCCACCAGGTGGCACTGAGGAACTCGGCAGAACACCCAATTGCATGATTCTCAACAAATGTGCAGAAAAAGAGGTGGAATCGCTATTTGAAGAGCTTACTATGAAGGTAACTTTCTGCAGGTAAAAGCAGAGTGACCTGAAGAAGCAGTACGGTGCTGTGTATTTAAACTTTACCTGTCACCTGTGCACTGCAGGACTTTCTACACACAGGCCAGGGTTACTACACTGTCTAGATATTACAGAGACTCCGATTAAAATAAATCTCAAGAGCGTCTTGGCTCCTGCGTTCCAATCCTCATCTTGATCTCTTCTCCAGCACCTCTTTACTACTCGTGGCATGATTTGTCTCTGCATTAAGGGTTAAACCCTGCGAGAGGCTATGTACCA